GGGCTTTAGGGTTTAGGGGTTTCAGGATTTTAGGGTTTATGGGCTTTAGGGTTTTAGGGTTTCGGGTTTTAGGGTTTAGGGATAGGGTCTTCAGGTGGAGGGTCTTTGGGGTTCAGGATGGAAGACTTAGGCTTCAGGTTTGGGGAAGGTCTTCTCGCTCTCCTTTCAGATCTACTTGTCCAAGTCTAGCAAGACGCTATGCCGAGTTCGAGGCATAGATTAGGGGAGCTCCGCATTCATCATGGGTTGATGTTACGACCCCACACCCTTGGAACCATCAGCCCCGCTTTCAACGACTGATGCACTCCGAAACCACGGCCCTGATCCCAGGTATCAAAGTACTACTCCGAGCTGCGGTCGCGCGAAGATTACATGGCCCGACGCCAGGTGGGATGTCTGAATGCAACGCTGCCTTTAGGAAGCAAGGCGCAACAGCGCCGTACTTGGGCTGGAGGTTATGACAGCTGTAGTTGCCTTATGGGAGTGTTTGTGACTGTTCCAAAGAACTGCAGCCATGCATTCGTGCATGTGTATGTACTCTGCTGAACTGTATAGCCCCCTGCAACCTCAGTGGCATTTGTCTATATCTGCATTTCCCATCCTGTGTGGGTGCGGCTGTGTACTGCTGCCAATATGTGTTTCGTAGTCTGGTCTAGTCTCCGCTAATGCAATATTAGCACACGTGCCAGGTGATGCAATATGCTGCAGCATAGTGTCTTGCTTCGTCCGTACTGTGCTGTTTTGCGATGCGCTGCCATGTAGTGCAATGGCATGCAGTGTAAAGCAGGGTGTAGCACAACAATCCAAGGCGTGAACACAAACGGCAGGTAGGCGCAGCGGTCGATGGATAAACCGGCGTAGACAAACAGACGACTGAGAACTGTACATGGGCAGAAGCGGATGGCAAGAGAGATATTCCGAAAGAGCTAGAAAGAGAGCAAGGTGGAGTTGGAGCGCCACACCTTCCGCATGGTGCACCAGGTACGGGGCATCAAAACTCTGCATGTTCGAAGGGATGAACTAATCAACAGGAGACATCTCGGGTGCCCATGCAACTTCGGGGCCTCAGGGGATCTGATACGGATCCGTTCTCTTCAGCCATGACCATCGGTCTCTCCTCTTTTCCTAAACTACTGAGACGCCGCAGCAGCAGGCTGTGTCCACGGGCTTGTCGAAAGCAAACGAGGACCGACCGCCGCAGTTCCTGTTTCTGCACTGCGCGGCTTGCGACAGACCACCAAGCAGCTCTCATGCCATGCAGAAGATGTCACACGAGAAGATGCAAGATCGAGCTGCATCGTTTAGCGGCTGCCAAACGTTCTCCGCTTTGTCTGTTGAGATCCGGCAATAGTCGAGATTCCGGTTCTCGCCTCAGGAGCCCCTGGCGAACGCAGAGGAGGTGGGCCTGGATGGGTTCTGCCTCCCCCCACGCACCCTGTGGAAAGTCCGGTGACGCATCGATCTATTTAGGATATTTTGGGATGTGTCCACTCTGACTCAAGATTTTGCTTCCTGTGGTCTTGAGCTTGCTGCCGTCAACTGAACCGCTAAGTGAGAGCTTGTAGTACTCAGCCTGACGCAAGACACAGAGCGTCCGACCCTCTGATGCACATTGGTTTCAGTGCAGGCTGCGCCGGAGGTTATGGAGAAGGTTCAGTTCCCGCTTCTCGCATCATCTGCTTCCGAAGTCACCGGCAGCGACTCTGCAGCAAGACATCGAAATGACCGAGACAGCATTCTCTTTGATTTCAGCATCCGTCTACACAGCACTGTTTACTGGTGTCTTACAGGTAGCATCCCAAGTAGCAGCATTGAAGCTTCGTCGTGTTCCTTCTCTGAGCGTGTTGTTGTGGTGCTCCAGTCGTGTGTCTAACCCTAAACCCTAAACCCTAATCCCTATACCCTGATCCCTAAACCCTAAACCCTGAACCCTAAACCCGAAACCCTGAACCCCAAAGCCTAAACCCTAAACCCTAAACCGTCAGGTCCCGCATTGCTGGAGATGTTTCGCTTCAAACGCCTGGTGATTGACGACTGTCACCTTCTGGCGAGGCCCAGGGGAAGAACCCCTATAGACACCCAGACAGCGCTTCTTCCCTAAACCCCAAACCCTAAAGGCCCTAAACCCTAAGCCCTAAGCCCTAAACCCTAAACCCTAAGCCCTAAACCCTAATCCCTAAGCCCTAAACCCTAAGCCCTAACAAAGAGACCCCACAGAAACAACAAAAGCCGCCGGACGTGAACGAAAGAAGCCAGGCGAGCTCCTCAAGCTTCTTCGGACCCCTGGGCCCCGGCGTCCCACAACTTTTGGAAGCCTCAATTCCATGATTAAGCCTTGGAGCCATAAGGTTTGGGGTTTAGGGTTTAGGGTTTAGGGCTTAAGCTTTTGGGATGCAGGGTTTAGGATGTAGGGTTTGGGGGAGTGAGGTCCCTATAGGGTTTGGGGTTTAGGGGCTCTGGAGATCCCGATGCCCCCCAGGCCTTTGGGGCAGCTGGTGTCCAGCCGCAGCTCCCAGAGTGGTGGCTTGAGCCAGTACCTGGGCAAGGCAGGCTTGCTGGGCATGACGGAGTTTCCACGGTAAGATTCTACAATAGACACTACACTGTATTGTCTCATGATCATACTACATGGTACGGAGTATACCCATGATATCTACGAATTATGCGGGGGGACGGTTAATTCTCAGGTATGCCAGCGTCATGTCAAGCGTGGTTGAACATGAGTCTTGCTGCTGACGTGTGGCTCCCTACGTCTAAGCGAGGGCAAGTTGACTGTGAGGTGGGGCCGCTTTATGCCGTCCATGCCATCGAAGCCCATGCTCGCTGGGGTATCGCTCCCCTGACGCTTCTCGGCAGCAGTGTGGATCCCGACATGCAGGGAGTTTGTTTGATTGCGTTTGTAAGGTCCGTCACTTGCGATGAGGGGGTGTCTGAAGACGTGGCGCCGTCGACACCTCAGCACACATGATTGGAGCAGTTCCTCCTCGCGGCTCTCTCTCTCTCTCTCTCTCTCTCTCTCTCTCTCTCTCTCTCTAAGGATGGCTTCCTTGCTGGGGATTCAGATCCCTTGGTGCGACCGCCTTGAGGCACCCGTAGCGCGGGGCCGTGAACCAAGACCTCCAAACCCTGCTGCTCTCAAGCCGCGAAGTCTCTCCGGGGAGCTGACACGAAGGCTTGCGCGACTGCCAGGCCAACCGCTTCCTGCAGAGCCACGCGGCAGCGGCGGAGGACTGCTAGTAGTTTTAAGAACAATGGTGGCCCTGGAGTGCAGCAACACTGCCGACGATAGATGCACATGAAGGTCAAGATTATGATGCTGGTTGAGATTGAGGGTATCGTCATTTTCAGCTAAGGACGTCGTCGTCTCTGTCCTTGCTGTTGTGGCGCCTGTCTGTGTGAAGGCTTGCATTGAATGGCAGTCGTTTTGGTTCAAGGGCTCTGCAGCCCAAGCGGTGGCTCTGGTACAGCTGGTCATAGCCTGCTGCCAGAATGTGCCGCAGCTGCACTATCCCATCACAACGCCTCTAGTTTCTGAGAGCTGCTGTACAACAACCCTAAACCCTAAACCCTAAACGGCCCTAAACCCTAAACCCTAAACGGCCCTAAACGGCCCTGAACCCTAAACCCTAAACCCTGCTGGCGCCTCTGTCAGGTTTGGTGGCCTCTCGCGTTCGTTGGGCCAGGGCGCGTCTGCTCCTCAGTCTGCTCTTTCTTGCAGCAGAATTGTGCCCCATGAGCCATATGAGCCGCCTTGAGCCATCCGGCATGTAGGGTTTAGGGTTTTTGGGTTTTTGGGTTTAGGGCTTAGGCTTTAGGGGTTTAGGGTTTAGGGTGTAGGGTGGAATTTCAACTCAGACTTCAGGTCTCCTGTCATCTCTTGCCACCCTTCCCCCAGGTGTTGAAATCAAGGGCCCCTTTTCGTCTGCTGTGGCTGCCGGCTGCCTTGCGACCTTCGCCCCTCTCAGACTTGGTTTTCCTGCGGGCCCGTCGTTTGACGCTGTCACCTGTTTTTGGCCTCGCCTCTTCATGTCAACGTGTTGCAAGAACGAGCTCAAACGGATGTCTGTGCAATGGCTGAGCATCGACGCGCAGCACTCGCTGATGCATTCATTTAATGCGAAGACTCCAGTCACTCAGGCGACGTGCTGCAGGCAACGTCGTCAGACAGGCACGCACGATTTCCTCTCTGGAAGCTCTGCCCCGTCTTTGAGCCGGTTGCAGGCTGCTCGCACTCCAATGGCCATGGAGGAGCCTTGAATCACTGAAGTCCACACCGCTCTGCGCGCATAGTGGCAAGTGTAAGCAAGTCCGTATCCATCGAAGGCAACGATGCCTCAAGCTTGGATGACGAAGCCTTTGCTAAGGCAAGCCAGCCGTCTTGCTTTCGGAATCAAATGCAGGGGTTCAATAGTCAGAAATCTGCTGCACGATCTCGAGATCTAACCGTTTCTGACGACATGGCTGCCCTAAACCATAAACCCTCAGCTGGGAGGCCTTTCAGTGTCCTTGGTGCGTCGAGCATGCAGCAGCTGGCGGCTCCGCTGCTGATCCTGGGCCAGAAGTAGTTACCCAGAGAACCCAATAGCCCTTAATTCAGGAATATACCTCAAGTTATATAGGCCTTATTATTTTGATTTAAGATATATTCCTTAAAAAAAAGGGCTATTGGGTTCTTTGGGTAGTTTCTTAGTAGGCGTTCCAGAAGACTTGGAGTTAGTTTTGGTGGACAAGGAGAACAAGAGGAACCATGAGAACGAACAGCAGAACGGGCACCGACCAAACACCATGGTAGGCAAAACCTTTACGACCCTAGACACCCTAAACCCGAAGCTGCCTTACAAGTCTTAAACGGTCCGAAACGCTAAACCACATAGACTCCACACCGTGACACCTAAAACTCCAAACAGAAGCGAAGATGCGCAAAGAGATGATCGAGCAGCAGGCGATCATCTTTGTGAAGCCTTTCTTGAGGTTGGGGTGGAGGGGTTCGGGTTAACGGCTAAAGCTCATGCAGGGCGAGTGGTCGTCAGAAGATGGAAAGGGCTTCGAGCTGACTTTTCTGGTAGGGTTCAGTCCCTAAACCCTAAACCCTAAACCCTACTGTAGGGTTTAGGGTGTTTTCCCTCAGGAAGCCCGCAATGCCCGCGCGGCCCATGCCGCCTGTCATGGCTTCAGTGCCACCGCAGGCAAGCACGGAGGCCCGAAAGTCTTGCCGGGCCTCCGTTTCGCATCAAAAACTAAGGCCCCAAACATCCTTAAACACGACAAAACTATAGTTATATATATATATACATATGTATATATAGATATAATAAAAAGAACAATAATGATGTATAAAACTGTAGTAAGCGTCCAGGTCCTAGAGGAGACTGCGTCGGCCACACCAACGACAGGTGCCAAAGCTGCACGGGACTGGGCCACGGTAGTTTCGCGTTGCCTTGAGATGCAGGAGCTGGCAACGTTGAACCATCCATCCCCTGTCGTGGCTCTAGCAGTGTGGCTTGTGATTTTGATCATAGTGGCCCTGGCGCCAGGGCTTACGGACTTGTGCAAGAAAGACTCCATGGTTTTTGAGGCAGGTTGAGAGCCTGTGTATGCATCGGTGCTGATCTTGTATCTGCAGATTGGCATCTCCTTCGTGGTGCTGCACTACCAATCCATCTTTATCGGCGTCATGCGTTGCCTGTTCCAGGCCAGGCAGTAGTAGCTTCTGCTCTTTATCGGTTTAGCACGAGCAGAAGCAGGGATGACAATCCTGTCAGGCTTTCCGTCCTCTGCTGATCCTCTTCATCTTCGGACAAATCATTAAGGCTTACGGCTTACGGCAGTTTTGGTTAAGCCTGAGACCGATGTCTGTACCGTGCCAGAGAAGCTGCTTGGAGGCAGTTTTCTTCATTGCGGGTGCGCCGATTTGGATGTCATTCTATTCCATCTGGATGTTCGAGGTGCATGCCTTAGAGAGAGAATGTTGCTGCGACTGTGTCTCACAGTCATTCAGTTTGAGTTCCTGCTCTTGAGTCCTTCTTCAAAAACAATAGTAATACAAAAAGAAGAATAACACTAATACCAATGTTGGTACAGTGCTACTTTGCAGCACTTCTTTGCTTGCTGCTGCTGCTGATGTTGTAGAGGCACCCTGATGCTCATGATGCCCGCGCCGCTGTCTCGGCAGAGAGGACGCCGCACGGTGATCACGCGCCCGCGCTTGACCCAAGAACGCATCTGGACGCGGGGTGAAGCTTCCGACACAGACAGGTTCAAAACGGCAGTTCCGAACATAAGAACCATCGCGTCTCGGGGCGACAGCTCCCCGGGCCAAGCTGAACAAATCATAACGGTACCTCTTCGAGATTTGGGCAAAATGCAGAAAAGGAATCTCTAGGCGCCCCTTTCCCTGGGCCGTGTTCAACGCGGCGAAAGCGCTGTTCAGATGATCATGATGACCTCGACCCTAAACATTACAAGCCCTAAACCCTAAACCCTAAACTATGCCCTAAACCCTAAACCCATCGTTTTACCCGCTTTCCGTGTTTGGGGCCTGGTGAAGGTGACTTACGGACTGGCTCAGTGTGCAATCTCCTTCATCTTCATCAGAGACTCGGCTGATTGGGGCCAGGGTTCAGGGGTTAGGGTTCAGGGTTTAGGGTCTGTTTAGGGTTTAGGGTCTTAGGGTTTAGGGTTTTAGGGTTTAGGGTTTAGGGTTTAGGATTGAGAGTCTCCTGACTGAGCCTTCTCTTTTTCAGCCGTTTGGGCCTATGCTCCGGCGTGCCTTCGGAGGCTTCTTCTACAACAACCTTTCCTTCGCCCGCATGCGCCCGGCCTTGGGCCACATGCTGCGCCAGCAGAAGGCTGGTTCTCATCGGCTCCTACCGGGGGCATCTGCGTAGTTCTCTAAATCAGGGTCCGTTCCCCAAGCGCCCCCAAACTCCACTAAACCCTAAACCCTGACTGAAACCCTGAGCCCTAACTGAGCCCTGAACCGCCTGGCCAGGAGAAGCTGGCGCGTGCGGCGCGCGCTCTGCTGTGAAGTCCCCATTGCCTCGCCCTTGGGGGCTCCGCCGAAGCGATTCCGGGGTCGGTGTCAGGGTTTCGGGTTGTGGCTTTTGGGTTTGGGGTTTAGAGGGCTTAGGGTTGTTTAGGGTTTTGGGTTGTTTAGGGTTTTGGGTTTTAGAGCTTTGCGTTGAGGGTTTTCGGGGGCTCAGGACCGGTGAAAAAGATGGCTTGAGGACCAGAAGCTCATCAAAAGCTGCAGCTCGGTGTGCTTTGTGAGTGGGAAGCACCTCCTGCCTGTCTGCAAACACTCCTCAGGGTTTTAGGGTTTAGCTTTGCTGTGGATCTCAGAGCCAAGGAGGGGCAACCTGCTTGAATGGAGACCTCAACTGAAAGGGGCCGTAGAAAAGTAGAGCGCTGACATGACACTATTGTTTGTGCCCCCTCTCGCAGAAAAAAGGTCTGAGGTTGGACTACGTGCATGTGGATGGGTAAGCTGCGGTATGCGGAGGTTTAGGGTTTAGGGGCAAAGAGCATGTCTCGGAAAGGAGGTGGATCCGTCCGAGGAGCCCCGACGAAAGGCGCGATGCTTCTGGCTCCGGGTTTCACTGGCACCCGGCCGTGACAGAGCTTGGTGCCGCCGACGCACTTTTGTGCGCGGAGTATCTTGGGCTCGAGCAGCTCAGGTCATGAGGGCTCTTGGGGGAGTTCTGAGTTTCTCATGGAATCGCAAGAGCAGGGGAGCCTATGCGATCACAGAGATCGCATCGGAGTAAGCCGACCCGCAGGAAGGAGGCCCATACGCAGAGAGATGACCAGGAGGAGGATTCCAGGAGTTCTCTGTGCTCGTGGTTCCAAAGCCACCTCTGGCATGTCTGCTACAAGCTTTCAGTTTGCTGCGGCCTGTGTAACAGCCTGCAGTCTCCCTGGCCAGCTTGGAAGCGGGTCACATCGGGGCTGTTGCTGCTGGCAGGCAACTTCATACTTTTCTGGTACAATTTGACGGTTTTTCTTCCAGCAAGCAAGCTCCCTGATCGTAGCAGTTGGAGGATTGCAGGATATAATGCGGAACGTGCCGCAGATGGGCAACTTCCGCGTCCCTTCCCATCAGTTTCGTCAGGCGTGCAGCCGTGGCAGAAGCCAAGCACCCAGCTCGAATGGCCAGCACCGAGAAGACCGAGTAGACGGGTGCCCGAGAGGGTTCCGTCAGAAAAGGATCTTGGGATTGTGGAGGATGCTGTAGACCAGGCAGATCGACTGATGTCTTATGCGCTCCTTCAGAACACCACCCAAATCATTCGTTTTAGAACACGCGCATGGACGATACCGATGCTCACACTTGCGAAGCGCCAGGAGTTGCCGTACCCTGACAAAATTACCCGCGCAAGCCCAACACATGGTGAGTACGCTGGACATGATAATGTGATGTTCGTATCGCCTTGCAATGCGGAAGAACTGCATGCACTGGACATACCCTTCGGTGATTTTTTGTTAGAAAAAGCGGCTTTTCTACGCATGAGTTGCTCAGAGAGGCAGCAGGTGCAAAACTTGGCCTCGAAGGTCGTGGTGGTGTATATGAACTTGCGGGAGAGTGGGTATTTTGGACATGCCATCGACAATGTGCTGCCCCGAGTTTTCGCAGTTGTTGGCGGTGCCAGGCGATCTGGACATCGGGTGTCTCTGGTGCTGCCACCTCTCGGACGAAGGTCCATGAGCGAGAACACGAAGTTGCTCTGCAAGTTTCTGGGCCTGGAGCTGCTTCAACGAGTGCCTTTGGAACCCCACCGAGTGGTCGGGATTAGTGGGGTTGCCGCCTGGAGCCGAGAGCTTCGTCAAAGCTTCCAGCAGGCCCTCCGAAACTCTCCGCTGCTTGGGCCTCAGCCTGCGGTGACGTGTCGAGATGGCCTTGCGCCCCTGGCGCCTCTGAGTGGCAATGCGACGAATTCCCTCAGCTCCGCCCTGTCGCAGTGCGCGGCCTGCAGCACGGGGCTAAGCCTCAGTGGCAACGCTTCTGCCGGGATTTTTCTCGGCCGACACGGCGGGACCCGGAATGCGAGGCCCGTGGAGGGTGCCCAGCTCCTGGAGGAAGCCTTCCGAAGACGGAAGTTTCTTGTTTATGCAGATGCTGGTGCGGTGTCCTTGCTGGAGCTTGCGCGGAGTCTCTACGGCAGTTGTCGGCTAGCGGGCTTCTCAGGTACCGCGATGGCGAATCTGATCTTTCTACCGCCAAGGGCTGCGGTGACGGAGTTCAACCCTTATCTGCTGTATGCCAACTACTGGCAGTGGTCCTATGCTTTGGACTACTGTTACTGCCAACTCGCCATTCCGCAGAGCATCACCGCGGAAGAGGCTGAGACCTGGTCCTCGAAAGCTTTGGCGGAACCGAACAGCGACGCGGGGTGAAAAACAGCCAGCTTAAACTTCTTGGTCTGTGCGAGTGAAGCATTGTAGTGAAGGTTTGACCCAGCGCCTTAGCATCGCAGGCTCCAGAGCGTCGCGACACCCGGGGCCCAGGCGGGAGAGCTGAAGAAGCTGCTTTGATGCCCCATCTGCGGCTAAGCCTTGATGTGCAGGTGTCTCCGAAGAGACTCATTTGGTACACTTCTCTGTTGGGGAACGCCTCGTGTACAGCTTCCGATGTTTGGAGCAGCGACATGACTGCATCAATGTACTGCACTCAAGAGCCTCATGACCTTAACCGGGAGTGATCGTGTAAATGTATCCCGGTGCTGACTTCGTGGAAAAGTAGACAGATCTTGATTCACAGGTCCTCTCTTAACGAAAGCCCCCTTGAGGCGACTTGCTGCAAAGTACAAGGCGCAACCCCAGATCAGGAAGGTCGTCGTGACTGACGAGCAGGCCAGGGTCTTTTCCTTGGCATCCGAAGATGGGCCGCGGGTTCACCGCATTCCCTGTTAGAGTAATATAGGGGCCTTAAGAATTACTTATACTGACCTATACTATTGTGGGGGTTCCGTATCATAACTCTAGTACAATATACCCCAAAACCCTCATCTGTCCACATGTACCCCAAAACCCTCTTCTAACTATGAAGGCCCCTTCTTCTAGTAGTGTGCTTTCGTGTTATCCCGATGGCTTTGAAAAGTGGAGGCCCGCGCTCTGCTTCAGCTCTGCACCTGTGCAGATGCTGGGCTCTTGTTAGGGGATTTTGTTTAAGTTACCATAATAAAGAAACCATAGTTTTTAAGTTACCATAATAAAGGAAACATATTATTTACTATAGATCCACAGTATGGTAACTTAAATAAAATCCCTTAACAAGAGCCCAGGATGAGACGACAGCCGGGTCTTTAGGCAAGGACGCGGAGGACTACGGCGCTGAAGTTGCGCAGCGACTCTTGGAGAGTGTGGTCGGTCATTGGAAGTCCAAAAGTGCAGATGCGGTGCTTGCCGATGCCCAGCAGAATGACTTCGAGCTGCGACTGAAGGCCTTCAAGACATTGGGCACCTCTGCCGCCTCTGCTTGTACCTATATATTATATAGTCATGGCAATGTTGTTTAATTTAGGGTGGTTCCTCATAGTACACCTATCATCGTCCCCCAGAAAGGCACCTCTGTGGAAGGCTACGAGCGGGAAGTGCTGTTGGCCTGTGCCCACAGCGGCACCGAGCAGCTGAAGCTTCTCCTGGAGGCCTCGGAGGATCCGCCCGTCGAAGCTCGGCTTCGCCGCCTGGCGCAGGCGGCCGTGGAAGGCGAGTTGCCGGCAAAGGCGCCTCGGACTCGGAGCGCGCCGCCGGGCGCAGCGCCTTCTTTGGGAGAGGCTTGCAGCGAGGTGGCCACGCTTCACAGGCCCACGCGGCATGGCTGCGGCTTTTGCAACCAGATCACTGACGAAGGACGCGAGACGCTCGCAAGGCTTCGTTTGGCCTCGGGGCGAGCCGTGGCTGCAGAGCGCCGGGCTGCCCAGCGAGTACGTGTCGCAGGGGCCCTGGCCGCTTTGTCTGGACTGCATCTGCGTCCTGTCCCAGAGGAGCTCCGATCAGAGAAGGTTTGCCTCTGCTGCAAGGAGGATGGTGGCAAGCTGCTGCTTTTCCCATGTGGCCACACTGCCCATGCCGCCTGTTTGGGTCGGATGAATGGTCGTTGTCCGGACTGCCAGCTTGGTCTGGAGGAGGACGAGGCTGTGTCACTCGATGCCCTGCCATCGATGACGGGAAAGAGACTCTGCAGATTCAGCTCGAAGATTGCTGCGGTTGCCTCAGAGCTGAAGCGCATCGTTAGTCGCGACGAAGGGAAAGGAACAGCACAATGTGTGCTTGTTTGCCAGTGGTCATCTGCTCTGGTGCAGTTGGAAGCAGCTATCACCGAAGAGGGTATGACGCCTTTGGTTCAGCGCGCTGAGAGTGCGGACACCCCAGAGGATGCTGACAAGAGAATCATTCTCCTCGCACCCGACTTTGTACAGAATCTCGGCAAAGCAAGCGTGCAAGCGATCTGGCGCGAGCGACTGCTGGCCCCCTGCTCCGTGCGCCACGTTCTGATCATGAACGTTCTGCACAGTCCTGCCAAGCGCCACGAGTGGGAGAGGACCTATCCCTGATGCAGTGGGGAGCGCCCCAACTCTTTCGTCTGCTTCTTGCTCTTGCTGTCTGTGAGTTTCCTATGTACGAAAAAGACCACTCTCTGGGTCTTGCAGCTGTCAGTACTACCCAAACTGAACCCCAAGATATCGCTCATCGTGATACGTAGATGTAGACCCTAAGCCCTAAACCCGAAGACCCTAAGACCCTAAACCCTAAACCTGAAACCCTAAACCCTAAACCCTAAACCCGTAGATGTAGAGACACGTTCTTGGAGGAAGATCCTGGGCTTGGCACGGATGGAATCCTCTGTGGGCATCGTTCCCGCAGTCGTGCTTCATCGCTTCGTCGTCCGCGGCACGGTACGCCTGCCCTTGATTCATACAATATAATATAATACAATATAATATAATATAATATACTATAATATAATATAAGACAATATAAGATAATATAAGATAATATAAGATAATATAAGATAATATAAGATAAGATAAGATAATATAATATAATATAATATAATATAATGTTATATATATATATAGTTAGTATAGCATAGCATAGTATAGTATAGTATGGTATAGTTAGTATAATATAACCGAAACTCACTAAATGGGACCTGAGTTTTCATCCCGACGCTGCGCCTTGTGCCAGGTAGAGGAGGACCTCGTGACCTCCCAGCCCTGAGCCTGCTGTAAGAGCAGCTCTCTGGGTCGAGTTTAGAGCGTTTGAGCAGAAGCGTATAGGAAACCCTAAACCCCAAACCCTGAACCCGTTGAGCCCTAAACCCTAAACCCTAAACCGCCGCTAGGCTCAGGAACTCTGCAAGTCACATGCTGTTTCGACCGCCTCGCCGGGTGACTTGTGAAGACTGAAGTTCTGGCACCACTGTACAGCGCCGGCGCAGTCGACAAAACCAGCTATCTCAGAGAGTGAGTGTTTTGCATCGCCCTACAAAGAAGCTACACAGCTATACTACAATGTGGCAGTATAAAATCATGCCTATCTGTCTGCTTGTCTAGCTGTCTATCTATCTACCTATCTAGCTTTATTTACCCAGTATCTACCTATCTGCCTACTTACCTATCTATCTATCTGTCTATTTTCATGCTTGTACATGTGTGTATATTTAGTATCAAAATGTGGCTGTACCTCTATGCTTCTATATCTCACCCCTATATGTATGTATCTTAACGTATCTATCTCTATGTCTCTATCTCTATTTCTATCTCTATCTATATCTACGTATATCTATATCTATGCGCATACCTATGTAAATATCTATAACTATATCTCTGTATCTGCGCATCTATACAGCGATACATCCATATATCCGTATATCTGTATCTCCATATATCTGTATTTCTGTTGATACACATACCTATATATCTACATATGTACATATCTACATATCTATACATCCATATACTATATGCCTATTTATCTATGTACCAGTCCGCTTCTTCATCTATACATCTATATATGTATATCTGTATACACACATATATATATACACACATCCACATCCCTCTTTCTCTCTCTCTATATATATACATACAGCTTTTTTTTACATTTTTATATTTCTGTATATCCGTATGTATATATATATATATATGCACATCCATATATATATATATCTATGTTTCCATAGACCTACATACCTTTACATGTCCATCTACGGATTTTTCTAAATCCCCCTATCTATCTATCCATCTATCTATCTTTCTATCTCTATCTGTACAGTGTAAACAGATACATATATGTATATGTATGTCTACGTATATATGTGTGTATATATATATGTATATACATACATACATATATATATATATATATATTCATATATATATATATAGATACACACATATATCCGTATATATCGCACCTGCATACGATGCTACATGTGAGGCTGCCGCGCTGAAGGCCGCAGGTCGGCTGAACCGAACCCCGGCGGAGGCTGTAGATGTCTTCTACGGGGAGGCACGTTCCGAAGCTTGGGGGTTTAGGATTTAAGGTTTAGGGTTTAGGGTTTAGGTTTTTTTTTGCAAGAACAGGTTTGGGAGTTGAGTTCAGGGTTTGCCCTAAACCTTGTTGCCCTTGTTTGCAGGTCCTTGACCGTTGCTCTGTGCACAGCTGCAGTTTCTAAGAGCAGCGGCCGAGAGTCGGGCATGCGAGGGGAGCTGAGTATGAGAGGCGGCTTCGGCCTGGACGTACGAAGTCCGTTCCTCTGCCGAGGTGGCTTGTTGTGAGCAAGGGTAGCCCTATGTGCTACTGCTGTCATCGTCGGTTGTGTTTGTATCTTAGTACCCGCAACAGTTATGATCGGCAGTAACTATTGGAGTAGCTTAGAAGGAACAAGGCATGGGAACCCCACAGACAGAGGCGGATGTGGCTGAGCTGGCAGAAGATGAACAAGGCCAGGCTGCTAGTCGAGAGGATCTACACATCGTGCTGAAACCGAACTGTCAAACAGGAGCATGTTAGTCCAAAGCTTTGTGGAAGGTCTGCGATCCATAGATTCGTGTCGGACTCAATCGCCTTGCTTGGTCAGGCATGAGTATAGGCCCAACTCGTTTGCTGTCCGAGTGCCAACTGCTCTCTACTTTCTGAGGTGTCTAGATCAAATCGGCTACTGCATCGTGGCTGGCAGCACGAGGCAGTGTTCTGCAGTTCTGTCGCTAGGTGACCGAGATCAACTTGCAATCTGTTCTTGAGGCTGATGTCGTAACTGATGGAGCGAACTTCAGGAAATGCAGGTCTCAAGCAGAGCTCTCGTCTTCCGTCCGTGTATACACATCATTCCAGATGCACAGACCTCAGAGACGTTTGCCATAAGGAAGCGTTGTTGTTAAACAGTTCCGTGCTCGCCAGTCAGCTGAAGAGAGCCGTTCGCGGACGCTCACGTGGCATCCTCCACCACTGTAGACTCGAGGAGGACGCTGAAGCTTGTCACCAATCATCGCAGGCGTGTGCTGAATGCCATCTCCTTTGCCTGGGGGTTTCATACCCCAGATATAGACACCTTTGTGCTTATAGTAGCTCTTATGCTTCTAAGTAACTCTCGGATTTACATTGGCCCTTGTTGTTGTTGTTGTTGTTGGCAACCTTAGAGCCTTAGAGTTAGAGTAATTAGTCCTTGTAGTCATGCGACCTGAGATAAGAGTTATGGTAGCCCTCGTAGTTGTCGTAGCCTTGGAGATAGAGTAGCCGTGATCTGGGTTCTTGTTAAGGGTTTAGTTTAAGTTACCATAATAAGGAAACCAAATTATTTACTACAGATCCCTACTATGGTAACTTACAAGCCCTAAACCCCTAAACCCTAAACCTCAACAAGAATTAAATCCCTTAACCACAAGCCAAGTGATAGTAATCCTACGAGTTGTAACCTTCTGCAGGACGAAGAAGCTCCGGCCCTGGTGGATCCAGAGCAGGCGTTGCTTTGGTTCTAACGACATCCGGTTGGATATGGGTAGTTCTCTAAACTCGGGTCCCTTTTAGGGTCCTTTTTATGAAGGTGAGAGAACGTCATATTCTGTTACACTCTATACTGTGTATGTTCATATCATGTTATCTCCTGCCACACTTGTTATATTCCAGTATGTTTTGGGTTCCATTCTGCTCTATTGGTTTCCTATGGATTGTCCGCCTAATGTCATGCTTCACCATCTCAGCTGCAAGACATCTTTCAACCTCTCTCTCTCTTTTCTGAACCCCCCCTGCATTCCCCGAAGTGTCTCGGAATATCTGAAGCATCCTCCAGTGGAGCCTTAAACCCTAAGCCCCCGAAGGAAGCCGGAAATCTGAGCCCTAGTCCACTCAATGGCCGAAGGTCGTAGCAAGAGAAATTTAGGGTTTAGGTTTTAGGGTAATTCGGATGCCTCAATCCACCCTGAACCTTCAATCTTTCATCCCTACGTAAACCCTAAACCCTACACTGAACCTTTAAATCTTCAACCCCTCCATAAGCCCTAAACCCTACAATTCTCAATCCCTGCAGGCATCCAGCTATGCCAGCCATTGTTCTTTGAGGAAGGCCCCGGCGCAGAAAGCCGTGCTCGTGTCATCTTATGTTATGGCATCTTACCGACTTGGTCTAGTATCTTAGAGTAGGTTATATAGTACGTTGTAGTTTACTCCATTCTGCTGTTTCTGGTCTTCTTAAATATTTTGGCCTTCTGATTCTTCATGCATGCTCTGTGCACTACCGATGCCAAGCTTCGAGCAGGTGGTTCTCCTGTACTACCTTGGGCCATCCCCCGCGCTGGCGAGTGCGCAGCCAGAAGTTGCTCATGGAATCTCTGATAGTTTAGGGTTTCAGGGTTTAGAGTTTCGGGTTTAGGGTTTTAGGTTTAGGGTTTCAGGGTTTTGGGTTTAGGGGAATCTCTGATAGCCACGGCTCTGAGAGTACGGTTTGGGATGTTTGCTTTAGCGTTCAGGCTTTCTCACGACGAACATCAAGCACCCTTGTAGTCATGCCTTGAACAGTCTACGATGCAAAAGGAGTAGGCTGAAACCTGCCGAATCTGCTCTGCGACGGCCCTAAGCGCTAAAGTCTACGCCGAAGATGCCCCACACCCCAGAAGCGAAGCCTCCACACCGAACGCAGAAAAGACTAGAAAAGTCACAGCACGCCTTACAGGCTTGGCTCCCCGTGATGCCCCTTCGCAAGTCTACCAGGCCTTCACATGTAGTGTTGGGCTTCAGGCTTTCGGGTTCATGGCCGAGGGGGCAGAGATAACAACACTGACAGTAAGAAGTCCAGCAGCAACATCAAGAGTGGCAGTCTTTTTCTGCTTACAACAAGTACGAACCATGAAAGCGACAATGCCAAGTATAAAACGGACGACGTCAGTCTCAGGAACAGCTCATGGTGGTCATGATGATGGTAATGATGATGATGATGATGAAAACGAGGGTGATGACCAAGATGCAGAGCAAGAGTATCATGAGCATGATGATGATAATTATGGTTATGATGATGGTGATGGTCATGGAGATGGTGATGAGGATGTTTTTTTTTGGTGATGAAGCACCGCGGCTTACAGTCGGGGGCCCCGGGG